TAACTGAACCAATCTGTGCAAAGAGGATTGTGTAAAGGTTTCCCATGAAGAGGGCGAAGATGCGCACCAGACACACCTGCCCAGCAAAAGAAACAAACACATACAGGCATGTGTCATACCTTGCTATTAACTGAATCAATCTGTGCAAAGAGGAATGTGTAAAGGTTTCCCAGGAAGAGGGCGAAGATGCGCATCAGCTGCCACCTGAGGGCAATACGGGGGTGATAATCTTCCAACTCCGCTATTTGTTCAAACAATGGAGGAACCACCAGCCCCAGCAGATTCATCACAAAATCCACCTGATACATTGGATGAGAAATTCTCAGTTATGTTGCCATTTCCATTTATTGTTGGGTTCTCTATAAAATAATAATCTGAGATGGGATTACTTCAGCATAAAATGCATAAATATGCACATATGTAATGTATTGTTCCTGATTTTTCTCAAGTATGTTATATTGTCTTGTTTTTAGGTATTTTTGAGTAGTTCTTCAGAGATCCTTATGGCTGTAATACAGGTATTTTCCCCATTGTGGGATTAATTATGGAAGTAATATTCTTGTCCTTGATTTCTTGATTCCTCTCAAATACTATATTTTGTCTTGTTCTTAGGTGTTTTTTATTTGTTTCTCAGGGATTAATTGTGGGAGGATTATTTTGTTCCTGATTGTATTTTGTCTGGTTTTTAGGTACTTGGAATTTGTTTCTCACAATATATGTGTGTGGTGTTTTGTTACTTGCTCTCTATTGCTGCTGTAACACAGGAATTTCCCCATTGTGGGATCAATAAAGTCCTACCTTACCTTACCTAAAATATATTATAATACTAGTAGGACAGTGAAGGAAAGTAGAAAGGTACTTAGCATGTTATGTTATGTGTTCTGATATTTCATGGAACCATAACAACCAGTGTGGCTGAACAGTGATAAGACTGACAGCCATCTTGGTAACTGCAAGCAAACAGGGGGACTGGGCTGTTAAATGCCACTGAGTATATTTAACTATATCAGTGTTTATAGTCAACGGAATTGCCTTAAATGAATTAATGAAATTACTGACATGCATTCAAGGATAGGTTTGATGTCCTCTCTCTCCCTGTAATTTTCTGTAAGTATCCCTGGCTTCAGACCTCTACATTTCTGATGAGCAGTCATCAGCCACATTAACCTGTGTTTGTCTTTTTGTTCTGCCTTAATGCTTTTCTTTGCTTTTCTCTCTCCTCTATCCACTCACCCCGACTACCCACCAAGAGCCAGTGTCGGCCAAATGTTTCTTCTCTTAAAGGGGAGTTTTTCCTCCCCACTGTTGCCAAGTGCTTGCTCAAGGAGGATTTGTTGGGGTTTCCTTATAACAGTGTAATATCTAGACCTTATTATTAAAGTGCCCTCAGAAAATTGTTGTTGTGAAATGGGGCTATACACTGAATTGAATTGAACTGAATTGAATTGAATTGAATTGAATTAAACTGAATTGAAAGATATATCAATTGTTTAATGTCCACCTGCCTGATTGTTATCGAACCATGTGAGCGCAGGTTCATCCTGAGAACGTTTCATCACAAAATAGATGAGATATCCACTCCCTCCAAGGCAGCACAGAATTAGAACATTTGCAACAATCCTGAGGAACCGTCTGAGATGGATGTTCTCATCTTTCTGGTTCTCCTCTTCATCTACAATGGATTCCTATTGTGAGACAAAAAACATTTGAGAAAAATGGTCAGATAAATAAAGATGTACTTCACATATTACACTGGTTGGCAGTTTACATCTCACTGCAAATCTGTAATAAAAATGAGATTAAAGGAAACACCCACCTTGTAGTGCTCTCATATTGGTATAAACTGTAAATTATTACTCTCAAATGTTCAGCACTCCAGTATTTAACTTCTTATAGTGGGAAGTTTTTAAATTCCTTGGTGTGTCAACTTTCTCTCTACTTTAGGTTGAGTTATATGTGGGACAGTTGTGTAAGTACTAGCATGAATAAAATTTTTCAACATGCTTACATAACATGTCTTGTGGCTTTGTGAAAAAAACTGGTACTTGAGCTTCCACTATTAAGGATATTCCGTTTTCATCATTGAATTTTGGTACAAAATGGTCATTTCAAAAGGAAATCCTTGTTCTCAAAATCAACATTTTGTCACATTTCAAAGTTTCTTCAAACCCAAGTGCAGACAGACCTGCTAACCTTGAAGCTGGTGGTAATGGAGGCAAATTTATTATCTGCAGTCTCAGGGTTTCCTATCAGGTAGTCCCAGCTGGTGAACATCTTCCAGCAGAAGATGAACTCGTCCTCACTCGCCCCATCTCCTTCCTCATTTGCATTACGTGCCATCCTGAAAAGGGAAGCACACAGAAAGAAAAGTTGAAAAACTGTTATCAAATAATTTCTGCATAAAAACTTTACAATACATTTGACTGTCTGCATATGTGTGTCTTGCCTACACTCTAATGACAACCATCAGGCTGTATCCAAAGATGCTGACAGCCACAAGCAGGTATGCCAGAGGGAGTCTGTACCGCAGGAACCCAATCACTGGCTCATTGTTGTAGTATCCATAGAATAAAAATGAATACTTAAAGTACCCCTGTTGATGAGGTATACAAAGAAATATCCATACTCAGAGACAAATATCACAAAAAAA